TTTTTTTTACAGTATCATAAAAACTGTATTATGTTTGTGAAATTATATTATCATAATTCTTCTCCAATTTATTCCTTGAGGCTAAATAAAAACGTCTGCTGGATAATAATCAGCCATTATTTGAGGTTATTGTGTTTGTTGAACCTCGTCAGATAAGAATGTACTCAACAAAAGCCTCAAACAAACAATTACACCAGAGTCACAAACCAGAACAAACACAGTCACCAGACATTAAATCTTTGTATGATGATGTTTCAGACGCTGACACATCACCAACAAACAGACTCTCAGACTCCAATCAATGTCTGAAATGTACAAATCAATTCACAGACGTCACAGATTCTCTTGGTACCAGATGTTTCTTACAGCGTGTTTCACAGAATTATGGGTAATCTGAGTTGGGAGTGTTTATGACTGTCTTCTGTTTACTTTACTTACCGTGTGTGTGTGTGTGTGTGTATGTGTGTGTTGGGACTTGTCATGGAGGGTTGGGTTGTTCTGTCTGAGCAGCAGATTAAAGACTGCAAACACAACCTTCACTGTAATTTAATAAATTGTTTTAACGGATTACATCAAAAGATTTGAGTGACACAAACTTAATTTAGTAAATTAAAAAATATTCTTGATTAAGCAGCTTTTACCAGTAATTTAAAGTGGCACAAACTTAGTTTTATAAGGTACAGAAACATTCCTAAGTACTTTTTAGTCAGTATCTTATTTAGTTAGTTTTACTTAAAAATATTCAATGTAATCAGTTTCAACAATTTTTTAGTTAAACCAACTTATCTGGTTTTACAGTGCAGTAAAACCAGACACACGTCCTAATAAAAGAAGTAAATTAACAGAAATTAATCCTCGTTCACATTAATTAAACTCATAAATTAATTGTTGAAGCAACTTAGTTGTTCTTAGTTAACTTAAATAATAATTCCAGTTTGTTTCACTGACTCATTTACTTGACGTTGAAACAAAAATGTAAGTAATGTAATGCTGTAAATCTCAGGATTTTTACATTTTAGTTTATATTTCAGTTTATTAATCAACAGAAGCCCATTAAATAATCCTCCAAAGTGTAAAGATTTGATGTTTGTCACAAAAAAATAAATATATATTCAACATTTCAGTCAGAGAGATTTTATCAGGCACTAACTGTTTTTTTTATATATCTGTAGCCCAACATCTCCCTCTGCTTTTGTCTTTGAACAGTTTTTAAGTGTATGTTTTATTTGTTACAGTTTGTTCTTCATGAGACAAAAAAAAAATCCCAAATGTCTCCTTATGAAATATATATATTTTATATAATATATATATAGAATAATGTGTATATATTTTTATATATATTTCTTTTTGTAAACTGTGATGAAAAAGTTAAAAGTATTTAAGAATCCAGATATAATATTCCCACTTTAATGGAGCACGGTTTTGTTTACTTGCTCTTGTTCATAGAAGATCTTTGATTAATTGAGTTCGCCGTCACACCACTGATGCTGCATTCACGGCTGCCGGAAATTTGTGAATTATACATTTTGTTTCCATAATTGCACTAAAAGTGTTTGTATGATGAAGAAATATTTAAAATGAGAGAATTAAAATGTCAAAAACATAACTGTGGTTCTTTCTAGTATGTTTGAATGTTTATTATTGTTCAGTGAAATTCGTGTGGCCACACTGGTTGAATGATTATTATATATGTAATATTGCTTTCTTCTTTTTTAAATCTTTTAATCATTATTAAACACAGTTTTATACAAAACAGTTATAAATGAGCTCCACCTCAACCAACTACAGTTAAATCCTGCTTTTACATGAATGCATGGGTCATAATAATCTAATGATAAAATATATGATAGTTTAACAGTCAGAGGGACATTTCTCTGATTATATTTACATATTTTAGATTTTCAGATTTTACATATTAATTTAGATTATTTTTAAACATAATGTATTAAAACTGTAAATTAATTTAATTGGGTTAAATTTAGATTTTTTTTCCTCTCTAAACAAATATTAATATATGAGATTGTTTGTGATTAAATCAACATATATTTCAGCCACAGCATGAATATTTCTCTCCATCTGCCCCTCAGTGGAGTTTCTTTTCCAGTGCGGTATCAGCATACTTCCTCCACCACTGTGAGCCAGTGTAAAAAGTATATTAGAGCAGTGGTTCCTAACTCATTGATGTACTTTACTCACTGATAAACAGCCTCATCCTGCATTAGAAAAGTTTAAGCAACCGAAGAGCTAATCAGAAGAAGAAGTGTGAAAAAAGAAAAGAGAAAACTCATTTCTGATCAATATTCACAGGAAATAATCTGCTCAAAATTCACCCAAATCGCTCGTTTTACACCAACTTCCTGCAGTTAATTCCTCTTCTTTATTTGGGTTCATTGCACAGTTTATAAGTTGTTCTGTATGCGTTGAATATAATATGAAATATCCATAAAATAAGTCACTTAATCGAGGGTTGTCAGGGGTCCCTTAAAGAAAAAGGTTGGAGGTAAGACAACAGGTTCTACGGTTTTATGAAAGCTCCTGGATTAATTACAGGACTTCAGAAGAACTGGACACTGAGGAAGATTAAATCCAGAAGGAGGCAGCAATGCAACACCAACTGCCCCGTAAAAACAACCTCAAAGAAGAAGGAAGGAATTCCGAGCTTTCACAGCGGCACCTGAACACAGCAGCAGCCAGTCAGTCTCGGTGAGGTTCAGAAAAAACTTCAAACCACCTTCAACCAGCTCCGAGGAAACACTGAAGCACGCTCACCAGGGGCCACAAACCGAGACCCAGAGTCCGACAGCAGAAGCGTTGAAGGTAACCGACACAGAGGTGCAAGATGCCGGCCACAGAGAAGGACCTGGCTGAGGACGCTCCGTGGAAGAAGATCCAGCAGAACACCTTCACCCGCTGGATCAACGAGCACCTGAAGTGCGTCAACAAGCGGATCGTGGACCTGCAGCTGGACCTGGGCGACGGGCTGAGGCTCATCGCCCTGCTGGAGGTCCTCAGCCAGAAGAAGATGTACAGAAAGTACCACTCGAGGCCCAACTTCAGGCAGATGAAGCTGGAGAACGTGTCGGTGGCTCTGGAGTTCCTGGACAAGGAGAACATAAAGCTGGTCTCCATCGGTGAGTCCCATTCATTCAACCGAGCCTCCACAGCCATCAACTGTTGAGCCCAAAATGAGTTTGCATGTTAATGAGTTGCTGGTATTACTAATATAACATGTCCCAGTAAAGTTTCCCCCCCAGTTTTCCCAGTTTTCCCAGTTTATAGTCCCAACACACTGTTTTCTGAAGTGGAAAGCACGGACTGCCTTTAAAAAATCAGCAATTTAAAGTTTAATTGCCTTTTCAAGATGAATATATATATCGTATATTATTGTAAATTATGTCTGTCGAGTGGGTTTGTTCCACTTTTGAATTCGGCACACACAATAATACACAAAGCAACACATATTCCTTATTAAATGTTGGGTTTTATAGCGGTTCACGCCGCTGCTGGCGCCCACCTGGCTGCATTTAGCAATGACTGCGGTGAGAATCAAGAGGAAAACCGCTTTTTAAGAGTTTATATTTCATTCAAATTAACGCTTTTTCGTGTGTTATGTGAAAGTAAAGAATGCCCTGGGAGGCTTCTGAAAACTTTTTACTTGTCTTTCATAGTAATGTCTATGCACTGTTGCCGGAGACCAAAGTTCAAGCCGTACCTTTGTCCTGTGGAAGATTCCCGGTATTCCCACAGTTCTTACCACTATGTTAACCAAAAACAGCTTGCTAATGAAATGTCCTGGCCTGTAGAAGACATAATTATTACTTATATTTAAGTTTTAATAAAGTTTATTCCCTTTTTGGTCAGTTTATGTCCTGTTAGCTCCTGTACATGCAGCGCTCCTTCCCAAACTGCGTTTAAGAATCCTGCATTTTAACGTCACGTTGCTTTGTTCGCGACATTAGAATAATTGTAAACCATGTTATTTGAGTATTATAGAATTAACAGGAGCTCATCTTCATATCGGCACACATAAAACACAATTAAGCCAATGTTTTGTTGGAAATTGCAAACCATGCTCCTTCTGCCTCCCAGCTCGTTGTCATATATGTGAAAGGCGACTGTGTGTGAAAACTGGACCCAAATCACCTTTTAAAGATTCATTAAAGTATGATTTACTGAGAGTCATATTTGCAGCCACAGATTGGCTCCCACAGTAATTAATGGTGAAATGCATCATGTTGTCAACAGCAGCATTAAACTGACAGATTTGTGAATGGAGTTTGGCATGTTGTGAGTGAAGAGTCTCCACATGACAACAGCAGTGTGTGTTTTAATGAGCAGGCTCCCACAAAGGGAGCACACACCTGTGTTAATGAGCCCGGCTTCATGTGGAGAGGTGAAGTTTCTCAGTTTGTGTCGAGGATGGAAAATATTTCACCCCTCAACCCCAAAATTCACAAACCTCCAGCAAACTGTAGTTAATGCGGTTCGTCAGCTGTGTGAGAGTGATCAGCCTCCACCTGCTGCTCACTTGTTCTGCTGCTATTCCTCTTTAACAAGCTGCTTGTTGTTGTGTCCCAAACGTAATTAACACACATCTGATTTTAATTCATGTTGTTTGGCTGCACAAAACGGGCAGATTATCAAACTGCTGTTGTTTTCTCGGATAAATAAACATATTCAGGCAAAGATTTTTGCAAACAAGAAGCTTTTTTTATGAACAACTCGTATGTTTTTTTTTAAGGGGATATATTGGCAAGGATTTGATGATATGATACGTATCACGATACAGAGGTTACCATTCAATATACTGTGATATCAAAGAAAATCTAAAGAACACACCAACATTTGATTTGTTTTTATCCAACCAGAACAGTTCTGCATTTGTATTAATCACAGTTCCTGTAACATCCAACATCTTCAGTTTACACTGTTATCTAGCAGTTTAGGAGTTTGAACACAAAAAAGCCCCCCCCCCCACGACCCGCTCGGGGACCCCCTGTTATAAAGCAGCGTCTCTTTGCTGCTGATGGAGTTCAAATAGCATTACAGGACGAGCTGAGTTCACAACACGACTGTGAACGCAGCCTCAGTCTGCAGCGATCTTGTGCAGCAATTCACACCTTCATCTTCACCTTCACACTGTCGATGTAAGAAACATCTCAGGCCTTTCTTAGTGACATCATCTCAGACCTGTGGTTAGACCTGTGGGCAGGACCAGACCTGTGTGTGTGTGTGTGTGTGTGTGGAGTGATGAATCCTTTTCCCAGCCAGCTGGTTTTGGTCTTTTCATGAGATCTGTTTGCACTTTGACGGGTGTTCAGCGTCAGACTAAAACAAAAACTGACTCTTAAATATCTTCTACAAGTCTGAATAAGTTTGTTTCCACAGCTGAGCTCAGCTTAACAGTTGTATTAAGTTATATAGAGACTATAGAGACTGTCGGATCTTCAACAGAAGCTTTTATGTTTAATCCGATGTGCTGAACTGTGGTCACTGAGTGGTTCAGTGAACGGCTCGAGGGTGAAACCGTCCTCAGGCTGCTCGGTGTCTGATGCACTGAGGTCAGAGTGTGTGCAGTGATGTAAAACTGAGGTTTGATTTTCCACAGTAGAAAGGAAATGACTGGATGGGTGGGACACACACACACACGCACGCGCACACACACACGCACACACAGTAAGGTAGCACTGGTCGTGTTTTAACCATCCGGTGTGACTGATCAGAAAAACTGATATGGGTCCTTTTTTAAATACAAGGTGAAATGAAATCACCACAAAGGTCCTTTAAAGGACACTTCACCCATCCATTCAAGCTTTTGTATCGTTAGAAACCAGTCATATTTTTGAATGGTCGTGCACCATTCCCTCATTTTCCCCTGAGACGGGAGAAATACGGATTTCAGTTGTTGCACTTCCTGCTTCCAATGATGTAAAAATCGTCATTTTGCATCCACTGGAAGCAGGAAGTCTCATATCTTTGTAGAGGGGGTGAGAGCTACAAACACTCTTTTCTCGGTCAAATAGGCACCAAATTCAAAATTTATGTTACATTTCGACTACATATATAACCCACTTTCAATAAAGATTAATGTTTCCACGGGTGAAATGCTTCTTTAATGCATCACAGGAAATCCTTGCTGCTTACGTGTTACCATGGTTACCAAATCATCCTGTATATAAGCTATCTGACGCGTCGGAAGATCTCTTGCTCAACAGTTCACGATCAGCAGACGGATTTAACAGCAGTTTCTCTTCGCTAATATCACATATCTATCTGTACTCACAAAATCCAGGCGACGTTCACTAGTTTAAGAAGGTTCATGTTGTGTTTAAAGCCTACAGCAGGAATATTTTAATCTATACTTAATATTTAGTTTAGTTTATTTGCACAATACTACAGAGCAAAGTACTTGCATATAGAACACTGTAATTACAGTGCAGAGGAAGGAGTCCTCCCCTGTTTTTAAACAAAATAAAAATGTAAAAAACACAGACAAAACAAAATGCACATGGCACAAACAATCTTTATCTACACAACACACAGAAGCATAAACAATAGTAAATAAAACAAAAAAAAACAAACTTATAAGTAGATATACATATAACTGAGGAAGCATCTTGCCATACGGTTCAAGGTGAAATGACTGCGTCCTACAGGCTGGCAGGGAAGTTAAAAATGCACATTATATTCAATGAATTTGAACTCCAGACCTGATGAAACTGAGTTTATTTCAGTGTTTATTCTGAAACATGAGGCTGCTCATCGAGGCGTTTTACTGAACTCTGTTAACGCTCTCTGACGGTAAAGAAAGGTCCTCCTGACCTCGGTGTGTTGGACAGAGTGAAGCCGGAGTCTGGACTCTGGAGGGGATCCAGCGCGGTTACACAGGTAGCGTTAGTCTGTCAGATATCGCACTGCCATGACGGGAAGAGTGCACGAGACAAACAGAGAGAGGGAGCGTGGGAAGGAGATGTTTGCTGTTGTCAGACAAAGTGTTGTAGCTCAGCGTCTCCCTTTCAGTTGTGTGTGTGTGTGTGTGTGTGTAATTGGTTAACTGTGGTGTGGGGCCCCTCAGGGAGACCCCCGGGGTTTTTGTCTGGAGCTCACACTGAGACGGACTGAGGAATATTTTCAGCATGAGTCCCGTTGGACATTCATAATGTTAATCTATATATCTTCAGTCTGTCTTCTGTTGGTCCATTTTCAGTCAGACAGGTCGTTCCTCAAAGCTCTGCTGCGTTCACTGTCTGCTGGGAGATTTGATTGACGGGAAGCTGCAGGTTGCTCTTCCTCAGTATTTGACTCTTGTGTTTTGCATTTTATTTATTTTCTTTGGACATTATAAGAACCCACTGTCTGAAAAGTGTTGAGTCCTTTCTTGCACATGATGAATCTTACAAAAGACCAAATAAGGAACTACATGAACAAACATATTTGGTTTGTTTGCCAAAAAGTAATTAACAGACCTTGATAGTAATCACATTTATCCAACATGTTAACCTGCATAATAGGTTACCTGTGTTTAGGATGTTAAACCTCTTATGAACCAACTGTTATGAAACTCTAATTAACAGAAATCCCAATAAAACGGGACGCAGCGATTGGAGAGAATTCTGTGCTGATACCGACGTTAAAAATAACATTTAGCTGATTGCCAGTGTCGATACCGAGGTTTTATTGTTGGTATTTATTCGCCCTTTTGTGCCTTAAGAATCTCAACTTTTAGTGACACAACACTCGACCACTGACATCAGTGAATGCCATCTTCTGTTCAAATAGGTCGATGTCAGTCAGCAAAGCGAATATCTGCAGATAAATCGGTTCCCTATGAGCTTATTTGGGAATGTAGTGCTGCATAAAAAACAACCAACCGCAGATACGGAGCAGATTGAAGTCCCAGCTGGTGTCTCTGAGACCTCAGACTTCTGAAGCTCTCATAAAATTCAGTCATTTGCACTATACCCGCCATGGTTTCACCGTTATAAACAGAATAAAAGGTTTTTCTGTGTATAAAAATAGAGACGAGGTTCTTCCTTCTGATGTTTTCTCTGTTTACGTATTCATAGAACACAAAGTTCTTGAAAGATTAGTGAATATGATCTGAAATGATACTCCGGCGGGGAATGTTTGA